CCAGTCCAACCCCATTCTGCCATGCAGGAACTCAAACTCAAAGCATCCTCGACAGATGTGGGCTACAGCAACCTCATCTGGAGAGCCACAATTTGTCCAGCCCCTGGTGCAGGGGAAAGGGGTGACACCTATATGCAGGTGCCCCAAGGTGAAATGCAAAGCTGTCCGGAGCTCATCCTTGCTGCTGGGTGGGGAGACAGGGAAGGCTTTTACGGGAAGGGTTAATTTCTAAGGAATGGATGGGCAAAACGTAGACTGGGACAGCCAGCCAGTTGATGTCTAGTAGCTTGGGAAAAGTTGCTGAGTCTGTCCCTCTGCTTGTCTTTCTGGCTGCTGAAACAAAGGAAATGGGCAGCGGGTAGATTAGGCGTACCTTTTTGTGCGAAAAGGCTGAGAACTCACTTTTGGTCATCAAAACAAATTCCTAAACCGAGCGTTTGTTGAGATACCCACCCACCTCTTTAGCATATGTCTGGCCTGTTGAGCTGCTATGCAAACACTGGGCTTCGTTTGGTGGATCTGAGATCTCCTGAAAGAAAACAAAGGTCGCTCTCATAAGCCTGAAGTCTCCCTATTCCTACTCTAAGGTACATGGCACCCAGGACGGCTTGCCCAGTGTTCCTTATTTCACAAAATAACAGTTCAGTATGAAAACAGAACTATTCGTCTCCATGGTTGCGGTCATTGTATAGCAGCAAACAGAAGTCGGAGAAGAGTTAAGATGTGTTTCTGCTCTTAATCATATTTGATATCAATATAACAAATTGGATGAATGGGTTGTACAGGATTAATTGTCATTGAAAGGAAGAATATATTTCCTGATATGCTTGATGTATATCCAAGAGCTTGAGAAAGACGATAAGAAGACAGAAGAGTGAATTTGTATTGTATGTGTACTGTTTTGTGTTGTATGTGAGTATAAATTAAAAAACACAAAAACAGTTCCTCTCCAAGTCAAGAAGAAATACAATTTGTCCCTTTTTGGTTGTTTCTGCTTTGGTCAAAAGGTAGCCCACAGAGATCCAGGAGTAGATGTGTGGCTTCCAAGTCTCCGTCTCACAGTCTCATGGGCCATGGAGACTGGACTGTTGTGAGGACTACAACCCCCATTATGCTTGGTTTGGGAATGGAAATTTCCTCTGGCCTCTCCAGCAAGCGTAGTGGGGGAGAAGCTGAGGCTTGAGCAGCCTAGCCTATGGAAAAATATATTCCAAAATCACCTTTTGGCAGGGGTTGGACTACATGACATTTGGAGTCATTTTCAACTCTACAGTTCTGTGATTCAATGGAATCCAATGAAGATAAGAATATTAATGTTTATTAGTCATTATGGCTATATGCTTCGAGATATATATTGCCTGGAAAGAGCAATTCCTGCCTAAAACAACGGGGGACGGAGATTGCCCTCATGTCCTGCTTGTGGGCTT